AACTTCAGTGAAAGAACAGGGGAGGTACTTCAGTGCTGCGGGAAGTCAGCCTCCCACCCACTGAAGGCAGCGGTGTCTGGATGGACAACTAGTGACTCAAGGGAAATGTATGTTTTGGTGGTATCAAACTACTCAAGCAGTGGCTTTCTGTTGTCCAAAAATCAGAGTAAGTATATACACTGCTGGAGTCATCTGACATTTCGTTTTAATACTAAAGACAAACCCCCAAAAACTGATGTCTGCCGTTTTCTGATCCTGATTTCCCCCTCTACAGCCAGCCTGCTCTGTCTGTGCTTCTCTGTTCCCTGCCTACCCATTACCCCATGAGAAGCTTTCTCCTGGGCTTCTTTCTGCCCCACCACTGGTATCTCAAAATACCTTCTAGCCATAGTCTTCACACCAAGACTGATGCATGATATATGTTTATATTGAGAGGTCCCTGCACAATGTATCTTAGTGCTTGGATTCAGGTTAAGTATACTGCCACAGCAATTTATCCCAATTCATACCAGCTAATAAATTGTTGTTCTGTTTTCAAGAAATGCCATTATCCCGTAACTCAGATTTGCCTTTTCTTGCAGTGTGAGGGTGACTGTAGCTTGTTTCACCGCTGCATTGCTCGGGTGCACAGAGCTTCCAGGTTTTCCTCCTTCCAGCAGAAGTTACTGGCGGGGGAGCATTAGAAACTGCTCATTTCCTTAGGCAGGAGATAGTGCAGTGCCGCAGGAAAACATGTCTGTGGTACAGTACAGCAAACCAGAAGCATTTATGACCCTGGATGTACAGTGTGAAGTCTGGTCTTGATTGGAGACTAGAACCTTAATCAGTACTGAGCATGGGCAGTTCAGGAACTGATCTTTTTGGGAGGTTCTTTTGGGCTCTTTTTTGTCTCCTCTGCACTTCTTTGTTCTTGTGCACCTTAAGCGCACATTTACACACACAGCAACTACAGGGAAGGTGTTCAGAGTAGTATCAGTGCGTAAGTGCACTCATTATTCACTTCCATACCATAAAAGAGTTGCAGAAGGGAGTTTACAAAGCATTTCCAGTTCAGGTTAACCATTAAAATGTAAGTTTAATTACATAGGTTATTGACTTAAGCCTCAGTGGAAGCTGATCACAGGCACCAGTAAAGGTGATCCACCCACCTCAAGCATCTTGCAGGACTTCTGTGTGTAAGCAGCAGCTCAGATTTTCTTTATACCAAAAGGTTGTATCATTCTGACTAAACCCTTCAAACAATCATCTGTTATAGAAACCATAGCGTTACTTTGATTTAAGCAAGGGTTGGGTTTGGTTTTTTCGTTAGCTTAAGGTAACTAAGAAGATTTAAGGTAGCTTTTTGTTATCATGACCCCAACTTATGCCACCAATAGCATCCCAGTTATTGCGACTTCTCTTTGTTGCCTCTTGAGCAAGTGTGGAGGGCCCGACCTCCATGCCCCCCTGGGACTGCATGCCTGCACCCTACAGGAAAGCGCTGTGGTGGGAAGGAAAGGCTGCTGGTCAATGCAGCGGGGCCAAGGCTTGTTTTCCAGACAAGGCAGTTGTCCCTCACTACAAGGGAAGTCTCAGACAGATTAAAAGATCACCACTAGGATGTTTTATGTAGGTTCAGTTTTACTACACAGGCAATAACTTAAATGCTCACAACCTGACCCCCTTAGTTCTTGTTTAAAAAGCTTGCTCTCTATTATTTCTTTGAGGAATAATAATGGACCTGTTAAGCTGGAAAGAGAAAACCTCCCCCTCATTTAGAGAGAAGTGCCAGAGAAGGAGACAGAGCATGCTGGCTTCTAGGAGAGATGTTTAGTCATTCTTCTCTGCAGAAGGCTGGCAGGGAACATTGCAAAGTTCATTTCCGAATCAGAAGAGCGTGTAAAGACTGCTTGTTTTATTCACTACATTAATCGTACTTCACATATTACTCATAATATTAAAATACCCATGTCTCTTCACTGTATACCAGAGACACTGAGCTGCCAATTTTCATATAATCGTAAATTGAATGTGTCTGTTTGAGCCAGCCAAAATAAGCTGGTATGGATCATGAGTGTATGTCTGTTCATGTGGGTGTAGGGGGGAAAGAGGAACCAGTGTCATGGGGAGAAGAGCTTAATGCCTTGGAAATGTCATCAAAGGAGCAGAAGAGAGAAGAGGATAATGATTCCTATTTTGATCTGCTTGTGCGCTTCTCCACAGCAGGTCATATCCTTCACCTGCCACTTCTCATTTCCTTTTTCCACAGAGGAACGTGGCTGAGATTTTCTAGCAGTGGCTCTCTCTGCCGTTCAGCGTTGTCACGTGCCTGCATTTCAGATCTCTCAGTGAATAGCATCAGTTTTGCCTTGAAGCCCGTTCCTCTGCTCCCAGCACACATTGAAAGGGATTGTCTCACTACGGAGCTGGGAAGGGTTAATGCAGGTACCTGAGGTCCTCACGTGCACCCCACAGCCACCTGCAGTGACGTCCCCTTGCAGTGGCAGCAGCTGCATGTGGCTGGGTCTGGCCCTGAGCTGACCAAGCTTGTCTGACAGTAGGAATCAGACTTTTTCCCTCTGGGGACCTTATGAGCATGTATCACCTTCAGCTCTTCTTTACAAGACTGGGCAACCCCAAATCCTTGAACCTCCAGAATGGGCAAATCTGGTCCTGGTTTTGCTTTCCAGAGCTCCAAAGCTGGTTGCTGCTCCGTGTCACCACACTCCAGCACAGTGTGAGCAGGAGTTCAGCTGTAAAGCTCTGAAAAACAGTATTGCAGAGTCACTGGTAAAACCAGATCCCCAGGAGGGATGTGCACACTGTGGCTTCTCATTCGTGGAAGATCTTTTCAGTAGATGTTCTAGGCGTGAAATTCAAGTCAGTGGCCCCTAAGTATGCTTCCTCAGCGTTCCTGAGGTGGGTGGTTGTTGTTCCTTGCTCCTGCTGAGTACAGGCTGGGAAGTGGCACTCAGAATGAGAGACATCCAGGGGGATGGTGCAGAGGAAAAAATCATCTGCCCTGTGTTTTTTGTAATTCACCTGTAATACGCCACTTCTCAGGTGCAACCTTGGATAGGAAGATCCACATACCAAAGTTGTGGTCAGCAGGACTGTGAGGGAAGAAGAAAAAAATAACAGTGACAATGATGGCATATAATACTGCTATTAATAATCACACTCGTTGCTTTTGTTACGATTTTCATAAACATGTCTTAAAACACCTGTGACTCTGACACAGTGGTCAGTGTCATAATCTTTATTTTACACATGGGGTAACTGAGGCAAACAGAAATGAAATAACTTGCAGTAACTGCCAGCAGTGGGAATGGTCATTTCAGTAAAAGTAGTCATGTTGGAAACCAAGTAGCAGCAGTATGAGCAGTGGAGCTGATAAAAGCTGTTTTCTTGTGCGTTGTCATCGGGAAACAAAAACGTCTGTGGTCATGTCAAATAAAGGCTGAACTCACCCTAAAAGTCACTAAAAGATGCTTTTCTACCCCAGCTGAAACCTAAAGGACTTTAATGTTCTGGGGACTTCAACTCCATAGTTAAATGTGATAGAAATTGCCAAGTAGTTCCAAGAGGGGAGGAGTGGGGATGAGCTGACAGATGAAGGGACCACATGAGACTCCTTTCCTTTTGGAGTCAAAGCTGTCAGGCTATAAAAGGTGGCACAGGGTTGAGGAACGGGAAGGAGACTTCTTCTCTGTTAAACTAATGCAGGAACAGGTTTGGTCTCACCTTTCACTGACGTTTATTTACCTTTATCCTCAGACCTAAGTGCAGTGATTTAGGCTGATGTGTCATCATGCTAATTGTGTGAGGTGTATTTCAGGAGCATTTCAGAGCTTCATCTTGAAGCACATACTCATTTCAGTAACTCTTTGAGGTACAGTCTTGTTGAGCTCATGGGACTGGTAAGCAGCCTGCTAAGCATGTGGATTGCCAAGTACCTGCAGTACCTAGCAGGTTTTTGCCATTCAGCGTCCTAGAATTTATGGGGCTTGCGGCCGTACACTCCAGGAATGGACAGCGTTGGGTGTGTGACTTTTAAGGCATCTGAGGTGGAGTACCAGAAGTCATTTATGACTTTTAAAAATGTCCTGCAGTGTCTAGGAAGAGATCCAGATAGGCTGGATCAATGGACTGAGGTCAATTGTATGAGGTTTAACAAGACCAAGTGCCAGGTCCTACACTTGGGTCACAACAACCCAATGCAGAGCTACAGGCTTAGGAAAGAGTGACTGGAAAGCTGCCAGGCAGAAAAGGACCTGGGGGTGCTGGTTGACAGCTGACTGAACACGAGCCAGCAATGTGCTCAGGTGGCCAAAAAGGCCAACAGCATCCTACTTGTATCGAATAGAGTGGCCAGCAGAAGTAGGAAAGTGATTGTCCCCCTGTACTCAGCATTGGTGAGGCTGCACCTCAAATACTGTGTTCTGTTTTGGGCCCCTCAATACAAGAAGGACATTGAGGCACTGGAGCTTGTCCAGAGGAGCAGCGAAGCTGGTGAAGGGTCTGGAGTACAAGTCTTATGAGGAGCAGCTGAGGAAACTGAGGTTGTGTAGTCTGGAGAAGAGGAGACTGAGGGGAGACCTTATTTGCTCTCTACAACTGCCTGAAAGGAGGTTGTAGTGATGTGGGTGTTGATCTCTTCTCCTATGTAACTAGTGATGGGACAAGAGGAAATGGCCTCAAGTTTTGTTGAGGGAGGTTTAGGTTGGATATCAGGAAAAATTTCTTTACTGAAGGAATGGTCAAGCCCTGGAACAGGCTGCCCAGGGAGGTGGTGGAGTCACCATCCCTGGAGGTGTTCAAAAACCGTGTAGATGTGGCACTTCAGGACATGGTTCAGTGGGCATGGTGGTGGTAGGTTCATGGTTGGACTTGATGATCTTGGAGGTCTCTTCCAACCTTAATGATTCTGTGATTCTATGCTTATATGTTATGCTTACTGTGGAAGTGATACTCCTGTAAAGTGTGATCGGGTACTAATGACTCCTAATATCCTCTTTCAGTATCCACAATGGAGTAATAGCAGTGTTCCAGCGTAAGGGTCTCCCGGACCATGAACTTTACAACCTCAATGAAGGAGTCAGGTAAGACACAAGACACTTGGCTCTGCACAAGGTGTTATTAGCCAGCATGCGCATTTGCTAGGACTTGCACTTGAAAGCTTCTACAGCGGTATTACGGGTTTTTTTTCCCAAATGCTAGTTTCAGCCAGTACAGTCAGTTTGGCCTTAGTGAATAGCTGTTGCTGGAGTGCGTCAATGCCTTGCTATGTAGCTGGAGCTGGGTTCCTTCTTCTGCAGAGGAAGTATTTAGCCATGAGGAGGATGGATTATTTCAGGGTCTGTCTTGACATAGGAGACTGAAACGAAAGAAGCGACAACCTGGACCCCTGTAGTAATGCAGCCTTATACCACTGCAGTGCTGCCATCCTTTCCATAGCTACCAGGCCTAGCTCTGAGGTGCTTCCCTTGCATCCATGGCGGATGTAAAGCCTCCAAGTGTTCAGGGCAATGTGACAAGGAAATACGTCCTGCCTAGGGGATCCTTATGTCTAACATCTCCTTCTGCACAGGCTGAATACACTGTAGATGTTACCAGACTGTCTTGTCAGAACAAATAATGCAGTTTAAGAGTCCCATTTCTTTCTCATGCTGTGATGGTACCATTCTTAACAGACTAAATATAGACCACCAAGGGTTATAGTGAGGATTTTTTTCCTAAAAAGAAAAATAAAAGGTACAAATCCTACCATTTGAGTTAAGTTATAGTTGTAAAGAAAAGTTTACCAAGAGATAAGCTGATACCTGGATTTACAGCACGTTGCTTCTTCTAACACTTTTTCTAGCACTTATTATTACTTACTAAACCCTCTCTCACTGACAAGGGCAAGGTAGCAAATTTCTTTTTAGAAACTTGTCCCAACGCTTTGAAGAATAAATGATGGAAAAGAAGCTGCACTTAAAAAACACAGACAGCTTATTACGCTCCCTGACTGTCTTCACATAAAAGCCTCAGTCATTCCCCTCCCCTTACTGCTTATTCCTGGTCTATATGGCCATGGGAGTCTGACAAAATTCACAGAACTTCCAGATGTTCTGGGATTATTTGTCCCACTTTGGTTCCCAGTCTCTTTCCTTTAACTGTGAGAATATTTTCAGAGAAATCCAAGCAAGTGATGTTTGACCTGTGATCTTTCTCTTTTTCCCTCTTTGTCTTTTTGAAATTAAAAGAAACTTACTCTCTGGTTATTTCTTTCTTCTCTGGGGAGAAAATTACATACAAAGAATAGCTTTTCTAGGATGGCTGTCAGTTAGCATGATCCATCAATCATTTTGAGTTAGTTATTGGAATAATGGCTGATCATTATTACTGTAAGTGCAGTTAGGATTCTCCAGCTTTATCTGAATGACAAAAAATGGCTCATATGGGCTGATACTTACTGGACCAGTAAGCCTGAGGATGCTCATCTGCTGGTGAGGGACAGAAGAGGAAAAGGAAATTGTCTGCTGAGATGACAGAGACAAATATAATCTTGTATGGACCAACAGATAGAAGATAGATAGATGTTATTTGGTGAATCATGCCCAGATTTTGCTTTCATTTGCCTGGGTTTAAACCCTGCACAGTGATTGTGCTTGCTAATACAGTTGTGTTGAATTTATTGCAACGTCCCAGGCAGCTGATCGGGCGAACTGACTACAGATAGACTGGTGGGGTTTTTTTCCGTTTTATGATGGGCTTTGCGGCCACATGAAGGCCCATTTCTTTTTGTTAGTGTAAGGATAACACTGGTTTGTTTTTATCTCAGCTGATTGCTCAGTTCTGCTGTGCTTCAGGGAGAGCAAACCCTGGTGACTCATACCTGAACTGATGGACAAAATATTGTGAAATCTACACCGAGCTAGAAAGCTGCTGTCATAAACAAGGCATCAGCAGCGTAACTCATGGCATGAGCAAGCATTTGGCGAGATACAGCGTGGCTTTTGAGACTGGTTCTTGTCTGCTGCTGCTTTGAGATTGTTCCCTCTTGCCTCCAACTTGGCCTGAACAGCCTCCTAATTTGTTGCCATCCTCTTGGTGACAGCTCTGAGTTTGTTTTCGTGAAGCTTCTCACCTGTGTTCTGCTTGCTTCATTCATGGAAAAAAGCTAAGATGAGAAAACTGCAAGTGGGTGAGGAGGACACAGCAGTCGAGAGATCTGTCTCTAGAGGAGAGTGTAGTGGTGGTATTTTTGAAGTGTGCCTGTTCACACATCCAGCCATGGCCTCTTTCCAAAAGCTACTGCGCTCCTGCCATGTGCTTCTTTTTACTGCCCACCACAATCAATAATGTTTTAGGGCTTCCTCTCTTTTTTTTCAGCCAAAGCCCTTTTGCCTCACTTAAATTCAGCTCAAAACCTAACTAAGAAATTACTGATTTGACACATACCAAAAATATCTGGCCTACTACTGTTGTTATTTAATTAAAAATAACCTTTGTCGGGTTAATTTTATTATTGAATGCAAAACTGTCTGATTCATAAACATGACCTCAGAAGTGGAATAAGAGTATATTTGCCTTAACGATTGTTTTAGATGCATTTTCCCCACAAGTACATGAATAAAAAGACAAATAGCCATTATTTACACTGGGCTAGTACCAGTAACTTTTTTCAACAGTTACATGGCAGTAAAAGAACTTATTTTATTTTACCACTTTAATTAGAGCAGATTCTGGGATACTTTTCATAATTAAACCTTGATTATCCAAGTTGAGTCACAGGCCAAGTGTAAATATTTGAACAGTTAGGTTATGCCCACAATATTTGCACACCGTTGTTTTGACTCAGGATTGCTACGTATTTTCAACTACTGTATGTCACATACGTGCAAACAAATACCTATAACTTCCTTTTCTGACCACACATCTCGAGGCTTTGAACTCTGATTATGTATGCACTGATTATTTAAGAAAACATGAGTGGGTACAAATCTGTAAGGTACCATTTACTTTTCTTCTAGGTTTGACTCATAAATCTGCCAGTCATTTACACCAATGCCTTTTGACACCATTCTTGCATTTCTCTGGCATTAGAAAGGGGCCTTAAATTTGGAGTTATGTAGAGCTCAGAAGCCCTATTATCAGTAAAATCAGTGTGTGACTTCAGTCTCTTTGATCTTGCTGTAAATCCTGACTAACTCTGCTGAAGTTAATGAAGAACAGTAAGGTCGTGAGAAGATACTCCAGTAACTGGGAGTATCACCAGTGTGTGGCCTGTGCATTACTACTTCTGAGCCCTTACTAGGTGATGTAGTAGAGGATTGATTCAAAAGTCAGTATATATGCGCATACTCACTGTTGAGTATTTCTCCTAGTGCATGTGTGTTACCAGTAACCATACAGTGTTTTTTCCTTTTTCATTTTAGAATTGTTTGAATCATAGAATGGTTAGGGTTGGAAGGGACCTTAAAGATCATCTGGTCCAACCCCCCCATTTTATGCACCATATGTAGTTTTGAAGTGTTTATTTACACCACTTGTAAATCAAGGAAGAAGAAGGAAAGGGAAACACAGTGGAAGCAGGATGTCCTGTATTAAAGCTAATGTATATTTATAGCTGCCTCTTTTCTGAGTTTCAGGATACTGGCTTAATGCAAACAAAGCACATTTTAATGGTACTTCCTCCTTTGTCGCAAGAGTTCAGACCCAGTAAAATCACTTGTTTTCATTTGCTTCATTTACCTTTATTTAACCAATAAAGTTAAAATTGTATCATACAGTGTTAGACTTTCAATTCTGAGTAATGTTGCAAGAGTTAATTTCAAAATGAACCAAAGAAGCGGCAGCAGGAAGATAGAAAAAAGTCAATAGCTATTTTAGCATATTTTATGTGAATTTATATTATCATCTTAATTTAGGAAGTCATTAAATAGGCAGTGAAGACCTGATATCAGTGATATACAAGCTTCATAAGAGTGCAAAACGAGTGATTTCAAAGTCAGATGCACGTGAAACAAAGTCTCCCATTTGATCAGGGAACTCTTTTAGATTTGATCAATTTGTACCTGCATTCCACCAGGATGTTCACACATCTAAACTAGGCTGTTCAGTAATCCGGACTACCCAGATTCTGACAGGTGACAACCTAACTGATTTTTGTTAAAGGAAGTAAGGCAAGGATGGAAAAAGAAATTGAAGCGCTGTCTTGGATCCAGTTTTGTTGCGAACTTCTTTTAAATGAATATGGGTACAGGGAACATCAAACACCAGTGTTCTGATGCGGCCTGAGGGCCTCACTATTTCACTAGAAATTAATTAAGCAGCGTGAAGTATCTGCATTGTTAGAGATTCAGCGAGCAAGATGCCTTAATTGTGCCGCCAGTTCTTCTTCCACCCTGTAAACAGCGATGCTAATGCAGCCATAGCACTGCTCGGTGTGATACAGTCCAGTTCGTATCATTAACTACAGCTGGCTTAGTTCAATTGTGGCTGAAAAAAGGGAAATGTGGGATTTTGTTTTATCAGAGGACTGGTTATTGGATAAGTAGAACATCATTTTGCTTTTCCTGGTCTAAATGCCAGGAATTATCAGTAGAACCTAAAATATGAAAAGAGAAAATATTTGTAAATCATCTATTCAAGACCGAGGAATCCAGGACTGGAATTCAAAGAGCTTGAGGAAAGGGTAGAAAATTAAGCAAAATCTGTCAGCATAAAATATCAGTTGTTTTTTTTTAAACAGTGGCACAAAGAGATCACAGAATCACAAAATATTAGGAGTTGGAAGGGACCTCGAAAGATCATCCAGTCCAACCCCCCTGCCAGAGCAGGATCGCCTAGACTAGGTCACACAGGAACATGTCCAGGGAATACCTGGGAATAAATTGCCTCTGTCATAGGAGAATTCAAAACGCAACTTTCTTGTTATTTTAACCTAAAGTGTATCTGTCAATGGTCAGAGTAAGAAAAACCTTTAGTGTCATTGCTTCCGATCCAGAATAAAGTCACAGCACTTGGACAGTAAATTCACACTTTGAGCATGACACAATTTCGCTATAGCATCCTGCTCAGTGGTGTACTCTTAAGGCTTTAACAGTCTTTAGGGGAGGTTGGTTTTAACCCCTGCTAAAGGCTGGTCAGGGGATGTCCTTGAGGATGGAGTCTCAGGGCACTACAGGAGTTGTCCTCCCCCGTATATTGCAACAAGAGGGCTAGACATACAGTTCCCATTTATGGCAATGATACTTCCGGCTAAAGCCTGGCTGGCTTTGGAAATTTTTGTCCTTAGATAGTTTGTCTGAATTAATCAGGTTTCTAACAGAAAAGGCTTCTGATGCTTAGGAACATCTGAAAACCCCCTTCCTTTTGTGTATTTTTATTTCATTTATGCCTAGAGTGTTTTTGCAGGGTGCTATGAGGTCAGTGTGGACACATGCTTAAGGATAAATAAATAAGATACTGTGTTTCGGCCTCATAAAGATTGACCTGCTCCTCCTTTCCCTGAACTTTTAGAAGATCTCAAGAGGCTGTGCTGAAGCTTGTGCTGTTAAAAAAATCAGATCCAACTCCTGCAGACTTTGTCGTGGAGCGTAGGGATATGCTGGACTTTTTAAACCAGATGTGCATTTGTTTACTAGTTAAGTAATTTGATTAATTAGTGATTAGTTAAAGACATAACCCAAAGGGATAGATGATAACATACTACCAAGTATATAATTTACTTAACTACCCTAATTGAAGTGGGGTTTAGATTTTTAGTTGAATTAGACCTTATTTCTTCCAGGGACCTGAGGTGGTCACACAGAGGCGGGTTTTCAGAAGAGCTCCAGGCCAGATTTGAAAATGTTTAGAAAGCCCAGCTGGTGCTATGTTTTTATAAGGTACCAGCCATCATTTATACATCTAAATGGCAACCTGAGTGCAGAGAAGTATATCTAGCATCCAATGTGTGAGAATTCAAATGGCACACAGCTTTTTAGCAATGTAGTGAGTTTTACCTGGGTGCAATCATTGGGCTTGTGGGTTCAATTGAATTCAGTTTCTGAATTTGATGGTTGGTTTCCTGGAGGTTTTTTTGCATGTGTGTTTGGTTTGCTCTCTGAGATTGCTTTGTAGGTTTTAGTGTAGAGAAATCATAAAAGGCAGAACTAAACTGTTAAGTTTCTGCCTGCTTTTTCACTGAAACCATGTGAGACTTTGGCTGTTGTGAGTCTCCCAAGTGGAAGATCATGGCTGTTTCAATGAAAACTGGCCAAGTTTCACACAACAAAAGCCACGAAATACCATCCTTCTTCAGGTTTCTCTCTGAAGATTTTGTCACAGCTCTTTTTTCAACCTTATGCAGAACAGGGACGATTTGGCTCTGAACACATCAGCCAAGTCATGTGCCTGGTTTTTGGCTCAGACCTGCGGATGGGCAGAAAGCACCAGGATTTCTCCCATGTCTAAAACACCAGGTGCCAGTGAAGCCCTGGCGCAGCAGAAGAACAATTAGAGCTTTTCTGAAAGGGTTAGATGTAGGATGGAAAGCATCCTCTCTTCGTCAGATCTTAATTTCTTCTCATATGTATTTGTGCAACTGAGCCATCTAAAAGCACAACGTATATTTTTCAATGTACAGAAAAGCTGGTTGAGAGTCTTAGTATTGTGGACCCTGTTGGCTCTCTTTGTAGTTAGGCATTCTTGACAGGCTCTGTGCTCATACAAAAATATTTTCCCATCAGTGACTACCCCTTTTGTGTGCAGTGCACAGCTAATACGATTTGCTGATTACACAGATCCTTTTCTTATTCTTTTTAATACAGGCAATTATTGAAAACAGAACTGGGATCCTTTTTCACTGAATATCTTCAGGTAGGCATGTGTTTTCTTTCATTTAAATCAAGTTTTGTTATAGGCTACTGAGCAAAATCATTTTGCTCACTCTGAATGCTGATCTGGAGACCCTTGAAACCATTCAGAGATGTTTACTGACTTCTCTGTGTTGTGTCATTTAT